GTATATATGTATCATGGATGTAGATATCATGTATGTATTTAACAAATAACTCGATTTTGGGTTCGTAAACCTGATGACTTCGTCTTCAACTTATGAAAAACCGTATACATAAGAAGATGTTCCTGTAGTTATACTTTTTTAAATATAACTACAGGAACATCTTATTTATAAATTTATAAAAATTTTAAATAAAATAATTTGACCAAATGTTGTTCTTTATACAATTTAAAATTATTTCCATAAAGGAATATAAATCTGATGATATATAATAAAATAATGAACAGCACTATAATATTAGATTTTAGATTTAATTCAGCGAAACCATTTATAAAATTAAATCGAGTACAAATCATGTATTGCATTTTTTAATTGTAGTCCGTTTCGATATATGTCCTGGCATGACAACATAAACAAATCCTGAGACTGATACCACTAATTATTCCAATTGGATACACAATCGTCGTGCATGTTCGGCCATCTGCAGTGACAAAATAAAACTTGGAGCTCACAAATGGCCTAGAGGCAATATCTGACAAGCAGACCAGTCCGACCGTCCGATCTGATGTTGGTTCTTTCTCCCGTCTGCACTTAACCTCATCCCCGCACCAGCTGAGGTGACATTTAAAAGCTGCAAGTGCATTAGTGTGAAACAAGGATTGAGGCGCCGTCTAAATTACAGTGCCAGCCAAACACACACGCACAGATGGAAAGATATACACACACATGGCACCGTGATCAATATCAAGTACCATTTTCAACGCTTCCTTTGGCGCCACATTTCTGTTGTGGAAGTGGAATGGAACCTTTTCTCAGCTGCGATCATTTTGCCCATGTGCGTTTCGAAGATGCAAACAAAAAGTCCGCAGCTCCGACGATAAGCAAAGACACAGAAATATGCGCAGAGTGCTACAGGCTCCAGACTGCAGAGTTCCAGAGATCGTGCGGCTATCCTGCCAGCCAGCTGAACTCTTTTTGGGTTCGGTTGTCTCTTAGTTTTTTTTCTGTTGCCTTGTGTTTCTGTTTCGATAAGCGCCGCATCTTCAATCTTCCTCTACGACGGCGGCGGCGTCTGCATTTCGTTGCCCAAAGAGCCCATCATCATCATCAGTGATATGCTTTACGCCGCAGAGTATCCATTAGTTGAATCGCCGTTGCCATTGCCGTCGCCTTCGCCGTCGTCGTCTCGCATTGGGCAACGCAGATAATGTGATTTTGGGTTCGACCCAAGAACGAGAAATGGAACGAGACGCGCGTGAGTTGTGATAAGCAGCAGAGACAAGGGAATACCTTGCCTCATCGTTCCCGCTTCCCTAACCTGTCGCTGCTCTGAGCCAATCTCATTTTGTATTCCGTGTGAATTCGTGGAATTTCGATATTTTTCCCTAGAACTCGAACGATTGCGTGTGTGTTTCAGTTGACTTGGCTCTCGTGACGTCATCTGGCCAGGCTTTGAATTGGATGCACACTGTTGTAGACCGACTAAGTGGGCGTCATCTCAAGGTAGAAAGTTGTAAGTATGCTCATTTATACGCTAAAGCTGACAGTTTCCATAAAAAGTCATTTGAAATATGAACGAAATGAACGAACGAACATATTTATTTTCTTTTATTTACATACACAATGTATGTAATTTTATCCTTTTATCGATTGGAAGCCGAATTGAAAAAAAAATTAAGAACACACATATATCGAAATAGAATTTGGGTACTATTTTATTATTAAAATAAAAAAGCTCTTTTTATAAATTGTGGATATAAACTTAAATTTTTGTCTATAAATTGAGCTTTACCGATCATGATTTCTTTCGTCCTATCGCTCTTTCTCTCTCTCTCTCTCTCTTCAATTTGTCTACTGCTCTCTCACTCTATGAACTGGCAGCCTTCAATAGTCAGCGGCGGCGTCTACCTATCTTCTTTTATCTATTTTAACTACGCGTTGTTAAAGCGCATTTTCGTGTCGTTTGTCGATTTGTAATGCCGGACAACGATGATGGCAACTGGGATGGGATGGAGTTGAGTTGCAGTTGAGCCACTACGGTCACAACCGAGCAGCCAACCAGCCAACCAACCACCACCACCATCAACAACAGGCTAAGCTCTCACTCGCTCTTTCTCTTCCTCTGGGCAGCGGCTTTGGCGCTTTGAAGTTGCCTAAGTGGCGCCTGGATGCCCGCTTGGTTCGTGGCGGGTTCAAAAGGCCGCCTTAGTTGGTGGTCAACAACAGCACATGGCTCAACATGCTTCATCTGGCTAATTAAATGCAGCTCGTCGGACAGTTTGGACACTTTATGTTGGCTTTTATCGCGGCCACAGCTCCACAGCTGGTATCTCGCCCAAGTCTATCTAAACAATAAACAAACGCATCAGCTATTTATTATTATTATAAAATTGTGTGTGTGCTCATGAGCAAGTGCTTGAAATGCATTGCAATTAGCTTAATAAAAATTCAAATGCATGCACAGCCACAGAGATTAGCAAAGTGTTGCTACTCCCCCCACAGCCCGCTCTCGTTGGCTCTCTCTCTCTCCGGCTATCTCTGTAGTCTGGTCTCAATTGGCTCTACGTATAACAGTTGTACGTCTGTCATAATTTCTGCGATAGTGTCACCCGGCACAAGTGCGCCATGGGCTACGCAACTGACAGCGATGTGGTTGGGGCTGCGGCTGGGGATCTGGCTGTGCTTGGGGCTGTGGTGGAGGGTGAGGTGGTGTGTGAAAAATGGCGCCCCGCAGTCGTATCTTGTCGCTTGTCACATTGAATTATTATTTTATGGTCGGCTTGCTCGTTTTTTGCAGTTCTAGAATTGCAATTGGCCAAGAAGCCGAACTGGTTCGCTGGTAGCAGCAGCCGCATTACTGCAGCACGCTAATGTTTTAATTTGTTGCAGCTGAGCGGACCTGAGCCAAACAGGTGTGGCACCTATTCGAGACTATTGACTGAAAATGCTTCTCCAGAAGGAACTTTTAGTATAATATTTAACAGACAAGGATAACCGCACTAAACCTCTTAGTTCTTCTTGAAACCTTTTCTGAATATGTAAAGACTTTGATCGGATATTTGTGTGCTCACCCAGTCCAGGTGCAGCATCGGACTGTCAAGCAATTCTCATTTAGCATTAGTCTTTGTTTGAAGTGCTTATTCTTATCTTGGTTACATCAGCGATGCACGTAGACTGAGCTAAGATAGAAGCCCCCCTGACTGTTTTAACAAAATGTTTCGCAACTCCCACTCAGGGCAAACAAATAGCTTCTTCTGCGAGGTCCAGCACTACCAAGCACAACGCTGCGAAGCGCATAATTTGTGCAAACACATTCCAAAAGAGTCGCCGCTGGAGTCGGTGCTGGTGCCGCTACTGCGCATTGCGGTCTCTCGTCCGTCTCATTACTCATTCAAGCACTCGCATTCGCATACAGTCGCCGTCTTCCCTCTAGTTGCCAGCCGTGCAGCTCTGATCAGAGTCGGGGCTTAAGATACTTGGAGCGCCGGCCAGCGAACGCTAATAAAAGCGGTCGTAAAACAAGTTTGCCTAATTGATCGAGCGTACGCCAAAAACAAAAAACAAAAAAAAGATATGAGAATGGAACAGAGGGGCGAGGTAGGGAAGAAGCCCAAAGGCCAAAGAAAATCAGACAAAGGCAACGACTGGAACTGGAATTGGAACTGCAGCCGAGACCGATCCACGATCCACGATCCACGGTACATGTTCACATCAAGGCGTTAATATTATACCAAGCTTGCTCGGTTCGCAATCGGCCTGGAATTTTTGCCATACCATCGACGACACTTCAAAGGCAGCGCCACTTGGCGGTGGCGTTACTCCGCGGCGGACAGGCTTTTAAGCGATGACACCAAATCGCTATTTAGACACAGTCCGAGAGCTCGAGCCAGAGCGAAGCTGGGCTTTCTTTGAAGCCTTTTTACTTGTTAAGATTTTATGGTCTGCTGTGCTCCTCTGTGGAGGTCATTAAAATTAATTTGGATCAATTTGGCGAGCTGCCAAATTGTTGACAATGAAAAATAACAGGCTATCCAGCGAAGAGTAGAGTCATCAAACTCTTGAGTGGCCTGCGTTTACAACTTATTTATTTATGTAAAAACTAGATCTTACATATACAAAATCGTAGACATTTGTATGATTCTGTACTAAATTAGCTCTAAAGTGTTAAGATCCATTTATATACGTATCATACAAATATAATATTGTTGGTGTGTAATAGACCCTAAGTAGTGCCCACAAATCATTTCGAATAATTTGTAGCAAGTAGTTGGCTAAGGTGGCGGAAGACAATGAACTAGTTGCCTTGCAAATGGTGATATTATTCCAATTAGAAACAAATTAATATAGCGCATTTATAATCACCTAAACCCAAAGTTTATTCTAGGTTCATTTGTTTCAATATTATACACTTTTAATGTTTTGAACTTGTTCATTTATAACTAGTTCGTTTATAACTGGCTGAAACTAAACTTTATTCATTTGTAAGCTTATTTGTTCTCATATTAAACGCGTTCAATGATTTGGAACTAGTTCATTTTATTTTTTAGAACAGTTAGATTAAGCGCTAATGCAAATGATTATGAAAAGAAACTAGTTCAGTTTAAATTCAAACTAAGCTAATTGAAATGAAATATAAAACATTTACATATTTTCTCATTTGACAAAACGTTTAACAAACTGGAACTAGTTTTTTCATATTAATTATTTTTTAAATTAAGTTGAAAAAGCCATTTATATAAATCGGTACTAGTTCTTTTAATATACAAAAAGTTGTTAAGGATATTGCTTTTAAAGTTCTAAGTTTTTAAATTAACTATCCATGGACTCAAACAAAATCCTGTGTTTTTTTATAGAAATAAATATCTAGTTAGATAAATCTTTCATAAAGCTACTCAAAATTGAGCTCTATCAGATAAAGATTTGGTATAAAACCAATTATCTGCAATCTGAAACCGAATCGCATTAGGAACTGAAATTTGTTCTTTTCTCGAAATAATTTCACCATTTGCAACATTTTTTAACTGGGACTTGGGCATTTCTTGGCTAAATTTGGCTTATATAAATAATTGGTCACTATCGACATTTTGGTAAAGTTTACTTTAGCTTAAATCGTATGGCTTAGTTATTCGATGAACGTTCCGGCAGACCTGTGCGCGTTATGACAGTTGGAGTCAGCTCGCTATTGGAGCTGCGCCCACTTTCGATTGGAGGAACACTGTGAGCAAAGGAGTATAGATTAATTATAATAAAAATGGGCCCTTGCATCAGTTTAACTTACGATTGAGCAATCTGACGGTTCAGTGTGCTTGAATTGGGCAGATGTGGTGAATGGCTCTGTGATGGAGGCTGTTGCTGTTGCTGCTGCTGCTGCTGCTGTTGTTGCTGCTGTTGTTGTTGTTGCTGCTGGCTATAAGGCGAGTGGCTCTCGCTAGTCACATGGTGACGGGACATGTTCAAGGTGCCATCCGAAGTCGGCACCGTGGGTATCGCAATGGCCACCACATGTGCTCGGCCGGCGGGGCCAGTTGTGGACATATCGTGGAGCTCAGGGCTGGTATTCTGTTGGCTACCTAACAATCCCACCTGGGATGGATAGAGCGGGCTGCCACTCACCATTAGGTTAACTCCCTGTGACATGCCTGTGTAATTTCATACAATAATTTCATTAATAATTTGTTGTAAATCTTTAAAAAGAATTCTAAAATTATTTTCTTAAAAGCCTCTTATTATCCATAAATTAAAATAAAAATAAAAAATGGAAATAAAGACGTCGCCAAAATTAACTTGTAATTAACTTATAATTGGGCGCGCACGACTAGGAGATACTCTCAATCCAACTGTTCCAGCACACCTGAGCACGTGCACGGACTATGCTATTTACTTAATTGTTTCGATAGATGAGAATAGCCAATCAAACTTGACTTACTTGGCAGTGCTCGATGAGGCATAGGACCTCCATTGTTCTTTGGCTTTCGCTTACGCTTCTGTATACCCTCCTTCTTCATGGTGAGCGGGCGGTTCATGTTATGCAGCTTGAAATAGAGCCCGCAGGCATTGCAGACGGGGTTGCCCTCGTTGTTGCGTCGCCAAAGCGTCGTCGAGTTGGTTTGACAGTTGGCGCAGATGACGCCGCTGCGACGGTTGTTGGGTGCGGCGGCTGCCTTTGGCTTTTGGCGCTGTGGTACATGGCGAACCGCCTGTGTCCGAACATAGCTGGTGCAATTTTGACAATTGGGCCAGTCCGAGCCTTTGCGCATAAATGGCGTCTGGCAGGTCTCGCACTTGATCTCCTGCAAGCTGAGCGAAGTAGGGGGCGTCGCATTGGTCGCTGACATGCTGGGATCGTAGTTACTAATGCTGCCAGCTGGCGCCCAATGGCCAGCGCCCATGTTGGCCGTGGAATAGTCATCAATAACCTGTGGAGGATAGTTCGACTGAACGTTGAACAAGGAGTTAAGCTAAAATCAGTGTCTAATGCTAGGTGTCCTACTTACAAATGAAACATTTTGATATTCGGTACCGGGGGTAGTCCAGAGGCCGGTGTCGGTGACATTCGTGCCATCCAGGAAGGATATGGTTTGATACGGCCCGGCAGCCGTTTGCCTCAACGGATTCAAGTTTGGATCGCCTTTGGTTATAAACTGAGCTGTGCCCGGCACACTGTAAATGGTGTTGCCCTGCTGCAGTGTAGCCGCATAGCTGTTGCTGCTGTATGTCGAGTTGGGTGGAAACGCATAGGCATTGCCTAAATCCGCATAGGTCTTTGATTCGTTCGCCTGCACGTTGGCATCGACAACAGGCGCATCATAATACAGATTCGCACCAGGCGCCTCTGCATCGCCGCTGGCGGTGGCAAAGCGTCCGTCCTCGGTCACATAGCGCACGTGCGGGTGGCCAACAGCTGCCGCGGCAGCAGCTACCGCGTGCTGGTGCTGCTGCTGCTGTTGCTGCTGCTGTTGCTGCTGTTGTTGCTGGTGATGATGCTGCAGTGCAGCCTCACTGACACCAATGGCATCACCGTAAATCACGCCATTTGGAGTTGGGCATTGCTGCTGCGGCTGGTGCGCGTGTTGCTGCTGCTGCTGCTGCAGTTGCTGCTCGCCGGGCACATCGCTCTTCTCGATGGTCTCTATTTTGATAGGAGCCACGTCATCGTTGGCGCAAATAATCTGTCCCGAGGGATAGGCATACAGCGTTCCGGGTGGTGCATTGGCCACCTGCTCGCCCACCTCGGCAACATTCCGCGGCGCCATTTGAATATAATGTGGGGAGTGGTGCGCTCCACGCTGATACTCAATGTGGGTTTCCGAGCTGGCGCTGTTGCTATTGTTGGCGCTGTGTTCGCTCTCGCGCGTCTCATTCAACTCGCTGCGGGCGCAAACCAATTTTAACTTTACAGAATATGTTAAATGATAAACTGCTGTTTACTTACAGTGTTCCTGCTGTAGTAAGTATGCGTCGTTGTTGCGAACGCGGTGCTACGACATACTGCTGTTGCTGGTGCTGCTGCTGTTGCTGTTGCTGCTGCTCATCTGAGTCACTGGATTGACTGCTCGCCTGTACCAGGACGCCAACAGCTGTAGGTGGCTGTTGCTGCTGCTCTTGCTGATCCTCCAGCACGCTGTTCGCCTGTGGATCGCTGCCGTTGCTGGGCTCAATTTTGATTTTATCCAGCAATTGCAGCTGTTGTTTGCTGAGCACTTGTTGCTGTTGCTGTTGCTGCAGTTGTTGCTGCTGCTGCTGTTGTTGTTGTTGCTGCTGCTGTTGATGCTGTTGCTGTTGCTGCGGCGTTGTCTGCACTTCCATCTGCAATGACCAAAGCGCAAATGATGAATGAACAACCTGTTGACAGCTTGTTGTGAAAAGTGTGGCTCCAGTTCCGGCCACACAATGCGAACTTGGCCGGCCGCCTCTATTTCCGCCACAATAAGTCAAACAAGCGCAAAAACCAAAACCCAAGAGCAGCAACTCAGACCCAAAGCAAACAATGGCAAATGTTTAAAGGTGCCGCCCAGCTGAGCTCAACACATGGCTCACAACTCAATTTGTCGCCTACAAATCATAAAATACAAAATTCGAGTACAACTACGGACCGACTTGCGTTCTCCGGGCCTCCGCTCGAACCTCTCTGTTTGCTGTCTGCCTACTCATCGGTATTGTGCCAACACACACCACACACAACTCACCAAACGCCACACACTTTTCCCAATTACAATGCAACAAGCTGTGGCTTTTTTGTTTACTCTCAGAACTCAGTTTCAGTTTCGTTTTCGGTCTTGGCCGGAAATAAAATTTAACAATTTCGCGTCAAAAATAAAAAAAAAGGAAAACGAAACAAAAAACAAGTCTTACATGAAAACTATAAAAATATAAACCCGTTGCTCCGATCTTAACGTACGTCAGTTTGCTTGGTTTATGACCTCATTTGGTGGGGGTGGCGCAGCTGAGTGTCAACACTTGGCGATCGTCATTGTCACCTGATTCATGACGGTGCTTTGCGGGCCTAACTGTGCTTTACTCCTCACGCTTAACGAGTTCCATAAAATTTCAAAGCTTTTAGGCGCGTTTTTATGTCACTTCGGGGAAAGTCCCAAGTACAATGAGCACTAAGAACACTATATTTATATATGTATATAGTATATACATAAAAATCGTTCAGGGCTGCCCGCACATAAACTTAATATTCGAATAAAAAGTCATTGAGCAAAAAAATTGGATACATTTACGAAAATACTTCAGCTTTAGTTAATAACTTTGGAATAGCTAACTAATAAATTCGCATAAAAAATATATATATATATATTTAATCTGAATATTTTATATATTATTTATTTATTTTTTAGTTAAATAAAAAATTAATTTATCTATCTAGAAGTAAAAGTTAAAATTAAAGGATATTTTTGGAGAATACATGTAATATAATTGATGATATATGTTAAAGCTAAAGGCACAAATAATTTCGAGGTAAATGCAATGAAAATTAAATAAATTATATTATTTGATTAATAACGTTTATCTAATATCAAATATTTTTTTAGATTTCTGTGACATTTCGTTTAATTGATGTTAAGCTATTTGTTAAGTCTGTATTGAGTCAATATGCAAACACGGTCAAATGCAGGCATTTTCAACAAATTTATTTATGAAATTCCACTAAAATAAATACAAATTTTGCTTTACTTGACATATATGATCGATTTTCGTAGAATTACAAACGTTTTTCAAAATGTTTCATAATCAATGATTCGGGGTATCAAAGTCTCATTGTTAACTTATTAAAATGAAATATTGGTGCTTATATTTAATATTAATTAAATATGCGTCATATATATTTATATATACATACACAATATAGAATGATATATATTAAGGAAAGCTAAGAAAATATCAAACAAAGAAAACTAAATTTTTATAGCCGATACCAAAAAGTTTCAGCTGAGCGCTTCAACGAAGTGTGTAAATGAAAAAAAAAAACGAAAGTTCAATGAATCTCATACGGAGATAATATAATGTAAAAATGATTATTTTTAATCTAGGATGTGCGATTTGATACCCGCATACGATATGCTTTATTCACGTGCCAATGTTTGCGCTTATGTAGCACAATGTGTGTGCATACATATGAAACAGAAAGTTTAGTTAAGATACTGCTACCAAACGACAATATCTTATCCGTTAACTGCTATCAGCATGCAATCAGCTGTTCCAACTGCTGCTGCTGCTGCTGTTGGTGCTGCTGGAGCTGGGAGGTCAGCTCGCCTTGATAGGATACGTCATCGATAGACATGGAGAGACATGGAGATACATAACTTAAGCGGTATGCGATTTGCCGAGTATTTGCTCGGCTTTCGTCAAGAGTTCGTCATGGGTGCGGATACACATTTATGAATGAAATCTGTGCAGTCACACCTACAATGCTTTTTTTTATCTATATAAACAAAAGATATTGGCTTTATGCATAGTCGCACCTCTTTTCGCTTTCGTTGGCAAGAGGCGTGGCGAAAGTCAAGAGCTTGGCGCTGCAATTCAATGCGTGAGCTATATAGGTAAATTATAGCTATTAATTGAAGGGCCTTCTGTAATGCCTGCTTCTAATTCAATGTACTGACTTTTTATATAGTTCGGCAGATAAGATGACCGTTGCCAGCTGCATTTACAACTCCATTAAAATGCCGTCAACTGTAGTAAATGGCGTAAGCCGCTTTGACCCTTGAGCTTATCAGAACTCAACGTCAACTGTCAACTGGCGACGCGTGTCTAATAAAACTATCTGAGTGCGAGTATCTAACCCTGCCCTGCATCGACTATCGCAATCAATTGCTGCCGCCGATGCCGCCATTGACCAACTGTTAACTGCTCCTCGATTGCGATTGGCTGACTCTGCAGCACTTCCGCTGCAGATTAGACGCAACCCCCATGGCACTAAGGGTTGGCAATTATTTCATTCATAAGGCATTTCACTTCCACATCTGATGATGGGCTCATCCCTTGCCTGGCCCCGAGCTCAATGCGAGGCGATAAGATTCACATAAATTTCACATTACTTTAGGTCTAAAACTAAAAAAAAAAAAATATATATATATGTATATATATAAAATTGACCTTTTCATGAATGAAACAACTGCGCGTGCTGTGCCGAGCTCGGAGCTAGGTCCACTTTTCCGCTATCCTCGATTTCTCGATGTGTGCGTGTTTTTTTAAGGTATTTTAACGCCAATTTCGCTCTTGGCTTCATAAAGATAAAACATCTTTCCACATTTGACTTTTTTAATGCATTTCGATACAAAAAAAACCTATTTAAAGGCTCGAATTGAGCTCAGTCGACTGAGTAATGCCCGCTCATTTAAGTCATCAGCACACTCTTCTCTTTATATACATGAAAAATCTAGTTCATTAACTGTTTAGGCCACATACAAATATATATTGTCTTCGAGCTCAGTCTACCTAACCAATATACTCGTTTCGCTTTATGAACGAGTATACCAAAACGTCGCATTTGTGGATCTGCCTGCAAGCAGGCTGATGAGTCATTCATTATAAATCAATTTGGCTTATCTCAGTGACAATTTTCTTTGTCTGTCTCTTAAGAATAAAAAAAAAATTCAAGAACAAAATCTGTTAGTCTGGCCTGCCTGCCCCTGTTTTGAGTCAAGCAAAATGGTTAAAGTCGATTGAATAACAATAATTCTTAGCGATATTCAACTTTTACTCAAATAATTTTTTATATCCAACAGCTTTTATAAACTGCGATCGACATATACGGCAGCCACTTGGAAACTACGCTCAACTCATTAAGTTAAATACACTCTATAATTTATTTATGACAAAAACATAAAAGGTTTATAGTTTATGCTGCGGCTCATTGGTTGATTATCGATATAACGAACCGATGTGAGAAACCCAGGGAAACTTTTTATGGCTGCTCCCAAGTCTTTAGCTGCATTGTAAAAATATATTGGGGTTTTAGATGGACTAATTTCAAATGAACTGAACTTTTTGAACTCAAATTTTATTTGAGTTAATTTTTCACGTTGGATCTAGATTTGACAACTGGCAACAAAATATATAAAATATATATGTTTTTAGGAAAATTTAACTTTATATGGAGAGCGAGGTGCACATTTGGGACTTAATTAAATGTGGGAAAATGAATTATTTTTGTGACATTTCACTTTATTATTTTGGTTAAACTTGGTTTTTTTTAAATATTTATTTGTCGTCTTTATACGAACCTTCAACTGCATCTTGATATCGACTATGTCAACACTTTTGCAAACCATCAAAATGTTCGTTGTTTTTACTTTTCGCTTTCCCGTCAACTGTTGTTTAGTTTTATCTAAGTTTCGTTTCGTTTTATCACTTGATTTTTTGTTTTAAAAAATTATCACATACACGGGTAAGTGTTCTCTGTTCTTTCTATGTTACGGAAACACCTGTTACAAAAGCGCGCGCATCGACAATGTGTCTATCAATTGTTAAATGTCATTCAGATTTAGGCTGAAAATTGTGCGCAATTGTTGTGTGGGCGAAATTAGAAGTGCGGGCTTTTGGCATCCGTAGAGCGTTTTTCGTTGTTTCCCGCGCGGCATTTAATAATAATAATAAGTGCTATTTTTTCGAGACCAACTCGAGCCCGGGCTGATGGCGACGACAACACCGACAACACCGACAGCACCGATACCAACACCGATGTCGACTTCGACGTGGACGCAACGCATTGCGGTGCCTGCTCCGTTTAGCACCTTTACCACAGTGCCCAATTATAAAACACACACAGACGCAGTTTGCAGCGCTTCTCTGCGATGTATATAGCATATAGCACATATTCGGTTCTATATCTGTGTGTGTGTGTGAGTTGCTGTGTGTGTTTGTGTGCAAGTTATGATTTATTTCTATACTATTGCTGCGCTCTGGTTGTAGCTGTCGTGCTCTGGTATTGGTTATCTTATCGCCCAGCGATAAGCCTGCAAATGTATGTGCCTGTGTCTGTGTGTACCTCTGTGTGAGTGTATGTGTGTACAGCAAACAATAACAGGCCACGGTGACAACGTCAGCGATAAGTATCTTATAGATACAAATTGCGCATGCGTGCTCAGCCAAAAACCAAATTAAAAGCCAGCCCAGCCACTTGTAGTATAGGTACTTAAGGAACACAGCTCAAGTTTCTCCTGCGCCTCCTGCCTGCTCCCTCCCATTTTGTATTTAGATTCGAGTGCAGGCCGCGTTGTTCAGCCAGCCTTCTGTCGATTGTGCAATTCTAGCCCATTTTCTAATTGCAGTCGTAAAACACTATTCCGGCAAACTCATAAACCGTATGGCAAGTTAGTCAACACTTTGCGCCACAAGTTGGCCTGGCTCTAGGCACCTGTCCGGCGTGATGGCGCAGGCAGAGTTGTGGGAAGCTCTGCTCCACTTCATGAGTGTCTCAAGTGTCGTAGCAAATGGCAATTGACAACAACAAGTGTTGTGTGTTGGACATATGAGTACATGCACATACTATTTTTATAACTACTATAAACTCAAGCTCGTGCCTTAGCATGCATAGCAAACACACGTGGTTGAGTATCAGGCTTACTGGAATTACAATACATGTTACTAAGTTAAGCGATCAGTATTATTAAAATTGTTAGATGTTAGACTATGGCTATGGATGGCAATGGAAATGTGAATTGCACTTACTGTGAGCTGTGTATATTCCTGAGATGTGTCTTGGCCAAATTGTGAATTAACGTTGAATATACGTAAGAAATATATTTGAAATTCATGTGTTAAAGCATCGACAGTGCAGCTCCTCTTACGCTTAATATTGTTTTATTTAAGTTTTATTTTTTCAAATTATATTATTTATTAAGCAAAAGCTAACTAAGTTTCTCAGTATTTAAGGCAACTTCCAACCCACGAACTTGATTCATGAAGAAGAGTTCTTTCACAAAAAAAACTAAATTTATATTTAAGAATATTAAAATATTACAATAATGCAACTATTTTGCACATACAGTTTATTTCGTATGAGATTTTAGTCCTTTCCAGATGAAACGTAATCGTGGTCTCATGCCGGACTGTTCTGAAACCTGTTTGCAGTCTGGATTTTTTCGCTTATTGCACAATGTATCCATAGAAAGATCTTTTGTATGCTTAACGTTAAGGTAAATTTACGTACATACGTATATTTACCAAAAAGCGGGTCTTGACAATATCATAAATTGTTTATAGTTGCAGCCATAAAGCAAGCAGATATATGACGGTCTTAAACATGCCCACAAGAGAGTAGAGCAGAGCGAGGGAAGGGCGTGCACATATATTAAATTGGATGAAAAATTAACTGGCGATGTTTATGCTTTTATATCGCTGCAAATTTCGGTTTACCCAATAGACACTATATTTGTATAATACATAAGTCTAATATCGTCTACAATGGCAGTGGCTGATAAAATGTAATTGTTGCGACTTGGGCAAACATAAATCATGGGGCAAATCTTAAAAGGCACAGCCCAAACAAAAGTATCTAATAGTTTGCCTGTTTAAAGTAGCCACACTTGAGGCACATTCAAGATATGAGGCTGCAGCGTGTCGCAGAATATCAGCACGGTGATTAATAACAAATGCAAAATGTAACTCAAAAGCTGACAAGCTGACAGCGTTCATCCGTTGCGCCCCTTGGCCAACTGAACTGAAGTGGTTACAAATGGCGCAACATGAATTCAACATTACGACTCTCTCTGAAAAGGTGCAGGGGTACGCCGAGCGCCGTACTCGCACTCGTCGCACTCTGAATACGAGAGACCGTCCAGCCAGTCGATGGGTAAGTCGTGCAATTAATACCCCAACATTGATGATACAAGCCGCCTAGCTTAAAATATTGAAGCCCAAATTTATGGCCATAAGACGCAAGACTTATTGGCGGCACAAACTAAGGAATTTATGGTGGTGAAATCTTTCGCTGGCTTTTCTGACCAACAGCCCCCAAAAGCAGCCACGAATATAGTGTACAGTATATAGAGTGGTGTTCCTATCTTTCCAATAATCACACTTTGCCACCCTTCAACTTGTCCATGCAGTTTCAAGTGCTTGGCGCTCTGCGAAATGAAAACGAAATTCAGTTATCAGCACTTCTTCAATTTTTGACAGTATCGGCGATCAGACTAAAAGAAACTTAATTTATATATATATATATATATATATATATATATATATATATATATATATATATATATATATATATATATATATATGCGCAATTGGCTGACTTGTTTTTACCATTCGTTTCTAATTTTGTTTTCATTTTGTTGTTGCTTTTGGGTCGGCTGATAAAGAACTCCAAGGAAATTAAACGTTAAAAATGCCAACAAAGGCGCGCCATAGTTTTAATTACTTACTTATAATTTGAAAATTGGGAACAGCAACAAAATGTTCATTTCGTTTTATTTTTTTTCATTAAATCCATGTCCGGGCTGCAACCACCGCTGATGAAGAACTACCCACCCATAAAGGCCTGGGCTTTGTGGCGTGGTTCAATCAAATAAAAATGAAAATTTTGTAATGGCGGTTGTTGTTGTTGGCGGTGTTCGGTTTGGTGAAAGTAAATTGAGTTCAAGTAATTTCTATTAACCTGCTCGACTCTCTGGCCATTAATCATCTAAAGCACGCAACACTACCAACCACCAAGCTGCAAGGAATGATGCATCACTAAGCTAACAAAGAAATAGAGCAAAGTTGGCTCCGTTTATTGGCTTTATCAGTATTAAGAGAATATGAATCAACAGGGTTATAGCTCTGCTTTTTTGCAGGTGCAGAGCAAAGCTCTGAGGCAATTTTTTTCTAAACAGAGACGTTTGAAATTTAAATAAGCTACATGATCTGGATCTGCATCAACTGAGGTTTAGTAACTATAAGCTCAATTTTCTGTTCCAGTCGTACATGGCCAGATTGGATTCTTTTATTATATAACTGCACTAAGTGTTTCATAAGAAAAAAGCTGTTTAAATGAAAAAGTTTTCACAAAAAGTATTAAATATTTAATATTCAAACAAAGGTAATTTCAGCCAAGACTCAGTGATTACTTATGACGTATACTGAGTCTTTATTTATTAATCAACGATGTGATTTGCTATTTTCAAAAATAAAAAAAGTCTCGTTTTGTAACAGTGGTCCAAGCAACGCACAAGACGAGAAAATTATTTATTATTCATACGCACAGTAGTACATCTAACTTTATATTAGTATACCAAAGAACATTTTAAAAAATTAATATTAATGTATAATAATTTAAAAGGAAATAAGTCAAACTCATTTATTTATATATTTATCATATGGCACATATTGAAAAGGTATATAAAAAGACTTAATGTCCCCAATAACAACATAAGTGGAAAAAGTGGTCTCTGTTTCATTTGGTTTGTCGCTTGGCAACGCCAATTGCCGTTTGCCTTCTTTATACACACCTTTGTTTACCAATATGCCCAGACGTGACTCATCATAATAACTGACAATCCATAATAATCCGTTGTCTTTGCTGTTGGTGCTGTTGTTGTTGTTGCTGCTGCTGTCATTGCTGTTGGCCTTTGTGGCGAAGGTTCAACAGCAACAGCGACAGCGACAGCGACGCCATTAACAATCATGGCTACTGGCTCTGGGGTTGAACGGGGCTTCTGTTGCGGGTTGGTTGTTTTGGTAGCCAAACAAGTCGCCACCGACAGACCCTCAGATATGATGAACAATATTAATTACTTATGAGCCGAACACATAAAATCACAAAATATTGATATATATCAGTAAGTTTATATATGTACATATATATATATATATATATATATATATATATATATATGTATATGTGTGTGGTTATATTTTTCTTTGTTTTGTGTAACCCGATTAAATTTATGGAATTGTTTATAAGAGCTTCACTTGCACTTGATATTGTATTTTAGACCATACCACTTCAGCAGCCGATATTGGACGTGAAATTAAAAAACGAAACATTTTGTGGTAGCAATAAATTTGTTAAAGAATGATACCGTAAGTATTGCGTCGAACCCGTGTCACTTTTCCGCGTAACCTGAGTAAGTGTTTTACGGGTCTGTTAACTTTGCTCGTTACCCCCAATGGCATATTGTGCACAACTGATTGTTCCTATCAACAAAGTGATTTTTCCTATCGTCGTCGCATATAATACACCTCTATATAAATAAATATATGTATATATATATAGTAAACATATCGAATATCTGAGAATAGATAGTGGCCTTAGATAAGTTAACGTATCTTAACAGAGATTTCGAGCCACACTCACTCACTCACAGCGCGGGGCAACAGGCCCCCAAATATGTAAGAGAGAGCGAAACCCATTCAGAGACAGCTGCTCCTTAACCTACTCCAATGGGAGTCAGTCCGTGCGATATCTGGTTGGGCTCTGTCAACATCTAAGGCTTACCTGATGGCCACCAGGTGTGAGCTGTAATCGCAGTTCATTTGCTTAACCGATAATGCGTGCGCCTCGTGACGTTGCCAATTTCTTGCTTCGGTGACCTAGCTAGATAAAAGTATCTAATCTTGGCTTTTCAGCAATATATATGTATATAATATACATATAAATACCATCACATGCACATAATATGCCTCTGTATTTATAAGATAATGAAGATTTGCTATCAATTTGTCACTGCAGTTGTTGTTGTTGTTACTGCTGCTGGCAGTAGGATATCGGTATCAGTTTTTTTTTTTTGGGGTATCTGTTAGGTTTCCCCAGCGCCTGGCATTCTGATTGCTTTGGGTTTGGGCTGGCTGCGCTTCTGGTTCTGGTTGGGTTTTGGTTTCTGGTGCTGGTCTCTGTCGCCTGTTGCTCTGTATCAGTATATCAGTGTTTGAACTGATAATGTCCCAAGATAATAAGCGATAATAATTTGAATTTTTCAGTAATTCCTTAAGTTTGGACGACCAACGGCATGGAATCTAATCACAGTTGGTGAGTGTAACTGGGATTTTCAACATGGAAACATTGTTATTTTCGAACCGCGCGTGCTCAATATTAAAATAAAACACAAAAAACACCTACCCATAAATATAGTTATATATCCTAAATATTTATGTGCTATTTATTTGCCTGCAATGTGAATTCAATTCGCAATTAAAGTCCCGACAAAAAGTGATTTACATTAAAGTAATTTATTTAAGACATAAATTCAGTAAAGTGCATGGATAAATTGTTGCTTATAAATTTAAACAGTGAAGTTTCGGGAATATCATAAATACACTTAAAAAATAATTTAATTTTCATTATAATACTTCTAAGCGGTTCGCCTTTACTCCATGTTTAATATTAATTTATTATTCATAAATTGCAATTGGCCTTAAAAGGTTCAAATTCCAGACAGTCAAATAATATATTTTTTTTATACATATTTACATATATATATATATATATATATATATATATATATATATATATATATATATATCAGAGATCATACTCCAGCAGCACTGAACGCAGAAGTAGCCGATGAAATAAATCAACAATTTGTGGCATGCCGATAAGATAACAATGCGCATTTACTCAACCAATTTCCTAGAAGTATTTCAGTTTAATACCTTTTTGCAAAAGAAAAAAAAGTCGAAAAAACTCTCATAAAACTCACGTAAAAGCTATATTTGATTAAAGATACACACTTTTGAAAAGATTTGCTTGAAGTTTGATTGGATAACAAAAGCATTTAACATATGGCACAAGCGTGCCAGCTACAATTCGCGTTAATTTCATAAAATTAAATAAAGCTTACAAAAATTTAAGATAAAATATTTATGTATTTTACATATAACTTATTTCAATAAATTCAACTGTATGTTTTTTTAACATCAAAATAATTTAAACATATGCAAAAATTTATTTAAATCTAATAATAAATATTAAATAAATTTTTCATATAGCATAATTGAAAGAAAGAACAAAAAAATTTGCTTATGAGAAATTCGGAAGTCGCTAAATTAATGTTAAAAGCTTTTAGCAGAAAATTTCTAAAATCCTTATCTATATTATATTTGGTCTGACATTTCATAATATAATACTAAGATAAATATTAATTAATATATTTATAGTTAGATAGATTGACTTAGCCAATTTGATAGCAAATGTATAGCTAGATCTACTGAAAAATCTGTTCTGATCAAGAATATATAATATATTTATAAGGTCTCAAAGCACATCTGCTAGGTTATGTAAGGTTTGACTTCTACAAGCATTCTTACTTCCTAAAATCGAAAATTATTTGATCTTTAAACATATGTGGGACATTGGCTAAGACAGGCGAGCAGACAACATGCTAAATTCGTTGTAGCTAAAGGAGTAAAAGATAAAACAACACGACACTCAGCGTTGTAATGTTGTATGTGAAGTATTTAAGCCGAGCAATATATGGTTCATGTCGAAAGTCTCTCCTCATTGAAGTTCAAATTCTGCCAAGACAGTGACTGCAAGACGACGTTGATGACAGTTCAGCGTGTCTACATATTTTCATTTGAGTCGATGAGGTTCGTCTGCCAGCCCCCTGCCTCTGGCCTGATGTGTCTGTTGGCATGTCAGCTCGCCGTTCTGTCATTGCGTCGACAGTCTCGCTCGCTGCTACGACTGCTTCTACTTTATTTCATTATCTTAAGTACACAATTTGAAGTACAAACGTCAGTTGGCGATAAGGCCAAGAAAGACATCAGACAGGCAACTCAACGACAGCAACAACAATCAGAGCAATGAAATGTTGCTCTAAATGCAAACTGTTTGCATTACCATTCAAAGACCCGGAATTGTTTTTCCACCTAGACTCGACTGAAACGCTGGCAGCCAAATTGAGCTGTGCATTTTCTACCAAGAATTCCAAACGCAGCAAAACAAACAGTTGTCAACATTGAATTAGGCACACCGCAGGCTGGAAAGCAAGCTTGGCTTTCCTGTGTTTCTTGCTATCAGATACCTTTTATGTACCTGCACCTCTTATGTGGCAGGCGAACTCCATGCCCATTTCTTGTACTTTCTGCATATGGTAAATAACATTATCAAATCATATTATCTTATTTATAAGCATTATCGTTGCCGCGCAGATACAGATTGCCTATCTATGGCAATGGGCATGTAAAAAATAATATCTTACCGTGCGGTTATTTCGTTGCTCGCACAGTAAGTTTTGCACTTTCCATTTAAACGCGCACCGACGCGTCGTGTCCCTCCGTCCAACTCCGTCTCTGGCTTCACTTAACCCACATAATAATTATTATTTTATATTTATTATTATAATGTGTGTGTGTGTATGCGACAACATCATAAAGTGACAACGCAACCGTCGCAAGTCTGAGGAAAATATACCGTTCTAATAAAACACAAAAGCAGTAACAAAAAAAAAAAGCATAAACTGTGCCATAAAAAGCTGAATGTCGTAAATTACGAGCTGTGTGTGTTTCGGTACATATACTATTTGCAGTGCCTGTACATACCCAAACGAGTGCGCAAATGTCAACTTGTGCTGACAGCAAAAATGTTCAAACTTAATGAAAAACAACTGTTGTTGTTTGAGAAGAAACATTTCACAGGATTTTAATTAAAATATAAGTCTCCAAAAATATCATCTCTAAATGCTTACCACCATTTGAACAGAAATTAATCAACTATAAATTGAATTGCCATGGAGATGCTTCTGTGACAAATAAGAAAGTAAAATAAAAACAAATTCACGCAGCTATGAAAAACTGAGCTTAAAATAATAATAATATGATTTTTTCAAGTGCTTAAACTTGATCTATTTTTAATTTTTAGTTTTTTTGTTTTTTTAACAAGTTAATGTAAATGTAATTTGTTATGCTAAAATGAAGCGCTAATAGAGCTAAATAGAAACTAAATTGTATTTGCTTTAAGCTTTATGGGTTTTGTATGAGCCACCCTTGTGCCATTTTATGAAGCAGCAAAACAAAAGGCAACAATTGTTAGCATTACGCTGCATTACACATACATGCGAGCATGCACACACTCAAGCACACACATACACATATATACACAATCAATTCCTCATGCTTGCACTATGTACAGCGGCCGTTGCCGTTGCTGTTGTTGTTGCTTTTCGTTTTACGCGTGTGGCAACAACAACTGCGCCGCCATTTTGAAATCAAGATGGCGACAACGATAAAGCTTCCCAGTACTTGGCGCGCTGTCGTTGTTGTTGCTGTCGCGTTTTTTATTGCTTTATTACGCGTATTCCCCCGCTGTCATCGTTTGTTGCGCAAATTCTCAAGTGCTGCCACATGCATTGAAGTGGAACTCCCATTAAAGAGATCTAACAGCCCAACTAACTGATCCCACAGCTAAACAGTTACTAAAGCCCATACACACAGATAGAGGCAGCATTAACAATTGGCTTGCAATATCATCGCATGGCAAGCAGAAATGAAAGCATTTAAACTATATCTTATCGTGCCTATGTATATACACATATGATATCATGTAAGACGACTTCTTGTATTCCATATATACATACATATGTCTGTGGCACTATCATCCCACTATCTGGGCAAAAACATTGATAGCAACCATGACCCAGCCCCAGTTCTTAGTGAAAGTTTTGCACTGCAACGATTTTAGTTTAGTTTCATTTGAAATATACAAATGTCCGAAACTAGTTAAGCAATATGCTAGTAATATGATTATCAAATGTCCTATGTCAATGTTGACTTTGTCCCTCGAATGTTTTATAAGTTGAACTTATTAGAGTACCGCTGCCAGGTGACGCCTTATCAGCTATCAATCAAGCTCTGCACCGCCTGCCTGCAATGCTTCCATTCCCATATTCAGTCTCAGGGCCTACATTTGAACGTTAACAGCTCCAAAGGTTTTCCCCCATGAGCGACTTTGGTACAGTCACGTAGCCAGCATTCTCTCTCCCTCTCGCTCTCGCCCACAACTGACTCTTTGGAACGCGCGACTCTAATAAAAAATAAATGAACAAAACGTACTCAAAGTATAATCACAAAAATAGAGCAAAAATCAAATATAAAGAGAGAGAGAGAGAGGGAGAGAGTGAGAGATAGAGACAGAAGCACAAAACTATGAGAAGAGAGAGCAGCAACAGTAAGCGAGAATACCAAAGTTTATCTTATCAGAAAAAAATGTCGCTTTCGTAAATGGTGGCATATAAAACAAATATTATATATCCCCAACCCCATAAACATGTATATAGAAAAGTCATAGTTGAAATTGCAACTGAATAGAAAACGTATTTGACACAACCCTTATTATTTAAATTTATATTTGTGTTAATTTTAATACTATAATTAATAAAGAATTTTACAACTCAATATGATCATTTTATAAATGATTAATTTTGAAAATTTTAATTTGCTAAAGAATCATGCAATAAACAAAATTTCTATATTTTAAGTTATACTACTTGCCATTTTGAGCTAGAAGATATTTGGAATATCACGAACTCCGGTAGCAATATTATATATGTGATTTAATTGTGGATCTTCTTAAAAATTTTTAAAATTATAATCTAATTTTGAAAGTATATCAAATTTATCTAATCAATAAGAACGTTTTTTCCAGCATTCGTATTGAAATAATATTTATTATAGGAAGCTTCATAATTATAAAATATTGTTTTAAGATAAGTAAATAGACTTATAGGATTGCCTTAAAATCAAATTGGCGAAGTTATTTATAACAGCCCAAGAGTATGTAACACATTTTATAAACTATTCTTAGTTGCAATAACATGAGACTCAATGTGCGTTTACATTCTGTTAGCTCATTATTGCGTTCTTAATACGCATGGTGGCTGTTCGATAACATATATTTCGATAGGTTTTATCTTAACTTTAAAAATTAAACATTGTTTGTCAATGTAATGTTTACAGAATATTTGAAATACAAGTTCAGTTTACCCCAATGATAACTATTGTTAACCAGTATTGTACAAATGTTTTATTTTTCCAAATAATAAATTGATTTTCATTTCTTTTAAAATGAGAAAAATCTTTGCTTTGGATACTTGTTGTTTATTTGTTCAAAAATAATAATATTAATATTGCAAAAAGAAGTAAAAAGTTAATTGAAACTAAAACTTAATTTGGCATATATCGTATGTGTAAAACGTATAAATTATTAACTAAAATTGCATGAGATTATTATTTTATTTCTGATATATTTCGTTATTGCTGATGCATAAAAATAACTTAAAAAACTATTTGGAATTTGATGGTAAGAAATCTCAAGAGTTATTCATATTCATAAGAGAAAATAGTATTGGGGGTATATAATAACAAAAATTCAACGACAAATTAATTTTATGCTGCTGAAGACATTTCGCTAAAAAAATTAAACTAAATTTTACAATAACAAAACTCGAGTAGTTGGGGCCTTTCTATATCTTATGGAAATGTCACATCAATTTTCTTAAATGTATATACAAAACGTGTGTGAGTGTGTCAGTGTGTGTGTGTGTTTTGTGGTAGTGTTGTGGTGTCACAAATTCTTAGAGAACTTTTGGTATACGCAATTCGAATGCCTAGGCTAAAAATGGATTTAAATTTCTTTGGGAGCTGTGAGATTTATGTATAACAAGAATATCTTTGGTCAGGTCTGTTCAGAATCGGCTGGCATTATTCCATTTTAACAATTGTCTCGCGCTCAACGCCATATTTGCGTCCGAATTCATGCAGTTGCTGCTGTGCGGCTGCGTGAAGCGCATAGCTGGTAATATGGTGCTCGTGTTGGCTAAGTGCAACATTTTGCTGCAGTGCGTGTTGCTGTTGATGCTGCTGTTGTTGCTGCTGCTGGCGGTGATATGCGGCCAATTCGTAGTGCTCATCGATGGACGTTGAGCGGCTGAGCAACATTTCATCGTGTTGCTGATGTTGCTGCTGCTGTTGATGTTGCTGGTGTTGTTGGTGGTGATCCAACTGCTCCAGCTTTATGATAGCCGGCTGCTCCTCCTCGGCTAGATGGCTCATATAGTAGGGCGACGAGGTGCGACCACTCAGTGCCGACTTACACAAGGGCATCTCCGTCGGACCAAGCGCCTGCTGCTGATACGGATTTTGCAGGCTAATAATGTTGCTGTTGGTGCTGCTGTTGCTCAGTGAGGATAGTGCGTTCGATGCCGTGGTCTGTGTTATTGTTGTGGTGGCAGCTAATTGCTTGCTGCTGGTGGTGGTGTTGGTGGTGCTGTTGGTGGCCGCCTCCGATTTGATCGCTGTGCTGATTGCCGCCGCCGCCGCTGCTGCTGCAGCTGCTGCTGCCGCCGTAATGGAGTTCGGCATCAGGTGTATAAGTTGCTGTTGGGCCAGCAATTGATGATCGCTGCTGCTGCTGCTGTTGCTCAATTGTTGAGCTTGCAGATATTTCTGTATAATTTGTTTGTTATTTTCATTGCTATTATTGTTATGATTAAATAATGAACTGTTGTTATTGTTGTTGTTGTTGTTGCTGCTGCTATTGCTGCTATTATGAAGCTGCGTGGGAGATGGCGTAGAGAAAATGGACTGTGACATGGCTGATGTGGGCGTGCTAGGTGAATGCTGCATGCTGCATGATTGCTGCTGCTGCTGTTGCTGTTGCTGCTGCATATTAATGGGTGACATTTGATAGGTTGGTGAAGACGACATGTCCAGGCCAGCGCATAGCTGCTGTTGCTGTTGTTGCTGCTGCTGCTGCTGTCGCTGTTGATGTTGGGATGCAGCATTGGGTGATAATGAGGAGGATGCCATGCTATGCGGCGAGCTGGCCGCTGATGAATGTAGCTCAGTGTTTAGTTGTTGCTGTTGTTGTAGCTGTTGTTGCTGCGATGCGTATGTCATATATGCAATTGGTTTGATATCTAATGAGATCACCGAGAGAGGAGAGAGAGAGAGAGAGAGAAAGCAGACATCACAAATTAGGCATGCGTGTAACACATAGTGAGAGAGCGAGAGCGCGCGGGCGAGACGAAATACGTATTGAAGCCATCAACTCACCTCCATCAGTGACATCCATTTGCTGCTGGTTATGTGCCTCCAGTTGCATGTTTACATTATGGCAGGCATTGGCATTGCTGGCCACGATTCCTGCTGCCTGCGAGGCTCTCATCTTCTTCAACTTTTCGCTTTTAGTGCCCTTTGGCTTGCGCTTGCGTTTCTATTGACGGGGCAGGATGAGGTAAGGATTAGTTTCAAGTTCTTCCGTCACAGACCAGCAACAACTCACCTGTATGGTGTCCTTCTTCATGGTCAACGGACGGACCACACTGTGAAGCTTGAAGTAAAGGCCGCAGGCATTGCAGACGGGCTCGCCGCCAGGATTACGACGCCAGAGCGATGTGTAGCTCGTCTGGCAGTTGGAGCAGGACATGCCAGCACGTCGGGAGGCGCTCTGTGAAAGTTTTTTAAAGAAATTTTAAAAGGTCAGTGTTTGTATGTGTGTGTTAATGTGTTTGTATGTGTCAGTGTGTGTGTGTGTTTAATGAGTTGTTGGAGGTGTGGAACTTTTCTTGCTTTTGATGTGGAACAATATTTTTTTTTATAAAAAAGGGAATTTTTTGCTCAACCAACTAAATAAACCAAACTATTTAAAAGTTGTTACGGATAAAAATATATAAAAAATACAGAATTTCTAGTAGTAGTAAAAATATCAATGACAAGTCGAGCTTAATAAAATAGTTAACTAAGAGAGACTAGCTCAAGAAATGGCCACAATCATTCAATATTTGATTTATATTTTATTAATTATAAAACCAAAATACCAATTTATTTATTTTTTTTACATAATAAATAATAAATCAAATATAAGCAGATATCTTCGTATCTCTTTGTACAAGTTGAAATGTTAAGTTAAATTTAGTAAAGTAGAATCATTATATGCACTCTATAGCTACGGGAAAGAGCTCTATAAGCAAGCTAGTTAGGGTATTATTGTTAGTCTTGGTAGGTTAAGGTATTATTGCATGTAGATCTATAACTACTCTTTGGATTTTCAATTATTTGATTGACAATATTTGCTATTTGACATGTTAGTGGCAGGCTTTAGTTGATTGGCTTGGTTTGGTTTGGTTTGCTTTGGCTTGGCTTGGTTTGGTTTGGTTTGTTTGATTTGGTTGGGTTTGACTATTCGTAATTAATGGACGACCTACCAAGCGTCTCGAATTAGCGCGACTAACTTGCTCGTCGAGCGCCGTTGAAGTCACTGAGGACGTCGTCGCCGACGTTGAGCCTGCGCTAGCGCCGACGCCAGCGCCGACGCCGGCAGCGCTGTTGGCATTTGTAGAGCTTTTACTGCGGCTACCGGCGGTCACATTAAATGGGAAGGTCTTATAGAAATCCCCGCCTGATTCAGCGGCCACTGTAATAAGGCAATTAGAATTTGTTTGTAATGAAGAAAAGCGTTTGTTGTTGTAAGTTTTAGTTTGGTTTTTTTGTTTTTGTTTTTTTTTAATATTTGTTGTTTTTTTTCAGTCGTACAAAACTAAATTGCGCTTGACTAATATAATAAATTCAATTAATTTTCTCTTTATGCATTTCTTAGTTCCATTTCTTTAGTTTATGCTTTCGGATTTTGTTCAATGATAGAAGCGAGAACTGCAGTCTGGCTGGCGGATTTCTATAAGTTCTTAGAGCCCATTATTTAAGAGCGCTCTGTAGTTAGAAAAATTTTGTTCCACACAAAAGCAAATATTCAGTTTGTTGTTGTTGTTGTTGTAGTAGTTGTTGTTTGAGTTAGTAATACTTGTAATTGATTTTGTTGTAGTTGTAGTAGTTGTTGTAGTTGCTGTTGTTGACATTTACCAATCTTCTAGGCTGTTTAATTAACGGCCGATTCATGCCGTTCATTTTATGATACAGGCCGCACGCATTGCATAAATAGTGTCCCGTGTTATCGCGGCGCCACAATGGGGTCGAAATCGCACCACAATTCACACATTCTCGCCCCTCAGTGAAAAAATCGGCATCGAGCAATGCTTTGGAAATTCAAGTATAGAAAAATCGAAATTTGTATTGAAATTTTTTTGTTTTTGTTTTTTTTTGTATTTCTTTTCATATTGTTGTTGTTGTTGTTGTAAATATGTGTGGGTGTGTGAGAAACGCTTTGAGTTGCATTTTATTGTTTATATAAAAAAATTAGTATTTATTGTTATATTTGATTTATATTGTTGTTGTTTATTTTATGTGTTGTTTTTTTTTCTTTTTTCATTTTTTTTCAAGAGTTGATAAAAATTAATTGAATTTATTATACGTTATACTTAGCAATAGAAATGTATGTGTAAAAATACTTAAATAAAATATAATTTAATTGGATAAACTAAGGAAATACCTACCCTGCTCTAAAATCAATACTCAAATGATATTGATCTATATAAACTATTGTGTGAATTTAATCTTTGCCTGAATTAATAATATTCAAGGTCACAATTTTCGTGATTTAGCTAGATAATATATTGAATATATGACATATATTTATATTAATGACAATCGTTTCAAAATATTGTATCTGTTCTGAGCACTTTTATATCTCTAAACGAAAAATCAAATAAATAAATAAAAACCTGAATATAATAAAATTTGTTGAAATGATCTTAACTCTGCGTGAACTGAACTTCTATTTTAGACTAAGAGAAATATATTCTATATAGAGAAATATATTCTTTGGGCTGTAAGTTGAATAAACTTGATCAAAAGATCATGAATCTATATGAATATCCTTTTCAAAAATACATGTAATTTGAACATATATAAACTCTGCATGTATATGTTGATATATATATTTAAATGTGGACTGGCTGAGAGAGTTTTCAGTAATTGGGCTGCCAAAGTATTTGAAAGCGAAGAGATGAACAGTTGGCAGCAAATTTCTTTACTCAACTTGGATTTACACAGGCTAAGCAAATAACTGACCTATATATATATATATGGAAATTGTAAGCAACTGTTTGAGTGTGAAATTCTACCTAATGCCAGACGGCAGCCGATTATGTGGTATATTGGGATTCCTTTGAATACGTATGTATATATAGATATATATGTGAGTGTTAGACTTACTTGCTGTTAGCGATGCCGAGGCGGACAGATGAGTGGCATTGGCTAGGAAGCGCGCAGGATCAACAGCGCTGACAGCACTGTCGACGGCGGCTGCTGCAGCCGCTGCCGCAGAGACGGCACGTCCGTTGCGTATCACATTGGTCACCGCTGCGCCACCCAGCTGCCCCTGGCCGGTGGTTGTGGGCGCGTAGCTAATTGGTTCGTAATGAGCATTCCAGGCATCGCCCTGTACCAGCAAAAGAAAGCAAAGTAGCGAGTATTAAAAAAATGTTGGAGCAGACGCCGCCAGCCTTGATACTTACGTGTGTGCGATAATTGCCCAGCGATGCGTATCCAGCCCGTTCGGCCCCACTGCCAGAGCCATTGGCCACGCCGTTGCCATAGCCAGCACCACCGCTGGCCGGTGCAATACGCTGGAAGGCGGGCAAAGTGCCACCACCGCCGTTGCCATTGCCGCTGTGACTGCTCTTGGGTGAGCCGTAGCCATCGTCCAGTAGCGTCGAGCTGCCAGTGTGGTGCAGACCCGCTGGGCCAGGACTGCTGCTCGTTGAGTTGTGATGCTGATGGTGCTGTTGCTGTTGTTGCTGATGCTGCTGTTGCTGGTGTTGATGATGTTGTTGCTGCAGCTGGGCGTGTGTGTGGGTGGGCGAGGCAATTGTTTGCATGCCGTACTGCATGCCATTGGCGGCCGAGGCGAGTAAAGGACTTGCATAGACAGAGCTGCAACGGGAAATAAACATTAATAAATATATAGGAACATGTTAATGTTCGTCTTGATGTTCAAATTAAAAATAGTATATTTTTGTATATTTTACCTATAGCAGTAGTTCTTTAAATACATATTATTATAGTTGGAGAAGAACATGTTGGGGCTGTATATTATTCTTGCTTTTTTATATTTTTTAATTGAAAAATTTCTTACAGCGCGCTTAAAAACGCACACTTGACATATGTGCGCGTTTTACGGGCGTTTTTTAACAGCTGATACTCTTTATGTTACTGTTAAAGCTATGCTAACTGCTGGCGTTGCTGTTGCTGGTACTGTTAAGGCACGGCTTATGTAAAATTAAACTGTTAATAACATTGCATTGCATTGTTTAACAGAGCACTGTTGTCGTTGTTGTTACTGTTGCTTTTGCTAGACCACCAGCGTTAACTTTTGGCATGTTTATAAGGAGCTGTATGTGTGGGTGTATGTGAGAGTGCGAATGTATGTGTGTTGGTGTACCCATAAAAGTTTTAATTAAAAATAAAAGTGTTTCAGCTTTTCAGCTTTTGTTTATGCGACTCGAATTCCCTACGAGAATCTGCTCCAACGGTAGCCTGTGCAAATATTTTCGGTACACTTGGCCGCTTGTGTCGCCTCTTCTTAATTTTTTTTATATTTGACGTTTATTGTGGCATAAACAAAGCAGCGTGGCAGGCAAAAATTGCGAACTGGACAAAGTCAGTTGTGACTGACTTGCAAGTCTTTGTGGCAGATCGGAAGTTCTTGTGGCAGAAGCGTGGCAGCAACACAAAATAGCTGATAGTGAGAACTTAAACGAGGATGAAATCCTTTACACACAAACACACACACATATACAATTAATTAAAAACGTAAATTTTTTTTTTATTTTGAACATAAAAATGAAAGAATATCAATCATTAATATTTTCTACTGTCATTTACGGCCCTTTTATGACTGAGAACTCAAATACTATTATTATGGTTATTATTGTTATTATTATTTATTTCGATTTGTGTTTTCGACAGGAAAACTTCTTTGCAACACATAAGTACACACATATATATTTAATATATATTTTTCTTTTAATTTATTTTTTATTTTTTGAAATGTTTGCAAAGCCAAAATACACTCAACTGGTCAGACGATACAACAACCGAAACGGGGCACGCGCGTTTGCATAATGAATTGAGTCGGGTTTAGTTTTATGCCAGTTGCAGTTGACGCTTTTTTCGCTCTGCCGACGTCGCTGCCAAGCTAGCTTATTGTTGCTGTTCTTGGTGCAGCTTTGAGCCAACAAGTAGTCAGTGCTAAATATCTAAACAAGATGCGCTTTCCGTTGGTAACCTATACAGCCTTATATTATACATTGTTATTGCATATACAACAAGAGCAGATTGTAAATGCCAGAAAAAATGCAGAAGCAACAACAGCTTTAACAATAAACAAAATATCAGCATTGAAATAATGATACACACTCTAAGTTCATAAAAGACTAGCTGCCTCAAAAGTAGTTATAAATATAAGTATTGCAAATCTTTTCAATATATATAGCATTTTATATAGCATTTACATTTAAATAACTGAAATGATATTATCATATTGATTGAAAAATGTAAGCTCAAAATTCTAGTGGTTTCAAGAACCAATGTATTTATAGTAATCCATTAAAGAGCTTACTCTTACAACGTCAAAGATAGATAATGGAATTGATTTCTAAAATATTATTGCCAATACTTTTCAGATTATTTTCATTGTCATTATAATAACTTAAATGAATAATAGTGATATTTATGGAAATGAACTTCGATTCTTTTTATAATTCATAGAGTTTTTTGTAACGAAAATGTTTGGTCAATTGTTATACAAGCAATAGAAAATGCAATAGATTTCTAAGAAGTTATTTAAAATATTAATAAATTGTTATTAGGCATGTAAGTACTCATGTAATTATATTAAGCCCATACTGCACTGCCAAATGGTGTCAGTTCTTGACATTTCTTGCAATATTTACTAAATGCTATAATCCAAGCCAGTTAGGTCGCTGCCGACTTAAAGCTAGATGCACACGCGCAGCGATAGCAATAACAATACAAGTATTATAAAAAAGCATGACAAATCTTGGAATATAACAATTACAATTGCCCGTATATTATATATATGCATATGGACAAGTATATATGAAGCTTGAGATGTCGCACGCTGTTTGGAAACGTTCTCGGCACATAGGAAGTGGCAAGACAATAAAAATGCACGATATTACTTTATCACTGTTCAGTTAAATGTTGCTGCTGCATATATATATTATATATGTATATATGTTTACGTTGTGGCTGTTTGCTGCAGGTGAGTATTTTGCGCAGACTTCTTGTTTTCTTGTGGAATATGTGAGCTAACCATATCTCGTATCTTCTTCTGGTTTCTGCCGCAACAAACTAACCAAAAGTCACATACGCGCGCTCGTCACCCAGCTCCACTCCGTCCGGTTTCTTCCGCCAGCCCAAATGCTATGAATTAAGAGATTGAGCGCCCAAGCGAAATATATTTCCAGATTTAAGCCCCAAAAAAAGAACCTAATCAAATGGCACATGAGGGGGGCGAGATATACGATATTCGATATACGATATACGATAATACGATAAACAGCTATAAAAATATTGTATTTTTTCAGCAAATACTATTAGTAATAGACTTTATAGTGGAAAAACTGAATAACTCCGTGAATAACTCCGTGAATAACTCCGTGAATAATTATGAATCTTTTAAAAATAAGAGACAAAGAGAAAGAGAGAAATTCCTAAACATTTTCCACTGCGAAAACAAGACTCAAATATCAGTTAAGACAGTAAGAGTTAAGTTAAGATTTGGAGAATATTACTAAACTCTTACTTTTTGGCATATTTGAGGTAACGTTAAATATAACTATTTACTGTGAAACCTAGGGTATTAATCTGTCAATTGATCTCAAGTGTCATTGACTCTTTTTATTTATATCTCAGTTTAGATAACTTAATTAAACTTCTGTTAGGCTCGCCTATTGGTGTTCCAAATAAATATAGTTCTTTAGAGTCTAAACGAGGCTTTAGTCTAGAAACCAGAAATAGCCAATTTATTTGTATATAAAGGCTTCACATAGAAGCCTAAACCAGGCTTTATTGACAATTTGTGTAAAATTTGATATGTATACGAGTGCTAAGTAGTAGTTAACTTATGTATAGAGTTATATATAAATATATATATATATATCTTATATAGGTTTGCCATGTACAATTTGTTATGGCTAGTTTCGTGTAATTGTGTGTATGCAAAACACGTTTTCCAATTAAGACTTTGCAAAGAGAAAAGCTAAAATGCAAAAATATTGAGAAGCACAAAACAAAGTTAATCGGGCGAGCGCATTGTGCGGGTCCAGGGAGTTTTTTGCTGAAGCTCCGCCGAATATTAGAGGCTCGTCGGCAGGGTTGCTAGCGTAGCGCAGGCAAGCACACTCTGCTGACTCAGTGGCCCCTGCGACTACCCTACGAAGTTGAGCCAAATGTGTTTTTGTAGTTTTGAAGCTGTGTCATTTACAGTTTTCTATGTCAGAAGGCGGCTTTGAATTACGCCGTCCAGAGCCGCATAGAGGTGCTGCACATTGAGTATCCTCCTCTCTCTCTGTCCCTCTCTTTCTCTCTCTTTCCCTGTCACACACACGCACACGTAGGCAGTTTGCAACCGAATATGCAGAACAAGTTGAAAAAATGCGCTTTCATTGCATATTTGTTATATTTGTTGAGTGCAGGTTTTTAGTCAAACGCTCGTTTGTTGCCACCTAATGCGGGTCATGCCCCCTTTGGCATATGCCACATTCGAAGAGTGTGTGGCACGTGCGCACACGTGTTGCAGCCAACCAGCATGACTACAAGCTCTCTTTCCCAGTTTCGGGCCACTTTCTGTGGGCCGCAGTTAGTCAACCTAGGCAAAAGTCCAACATGTGCGACACCCCCAATTCATGATTCAATCGAGAGACAGAGACGCGACGCATTAGGGAGAAAAAAAATGAGTGTATGTGTCTGTGCAACCCGGGGGCAGTCTCATGAGTCAGCAATACGGCTCAAACGCTGCCCCAACGTCAGTAATAACCGCAATTAACACACTGCATGATATTTTTGGTTTTGTTTACGAAATCGGAGCTAACGTTTACAATATTTTGCTTGCCTTCGGATTTTATTTTTTCGCTTTTCTGAAGGAAGCTCTGAATGGCTCGAAGGCGCGTCTCTGAAAATCCATAATGTGAAATTGTAAACGGATTGTGTATAAAAAATACGTGCAAATAAAAAGTTTTGCTCTGACTTTGTTTATTTTGATCGAGCTGAAGGTACTTCAAGAAGACAACTCTTAAATTTAATTCATTTAATTAATTAAAAAATTTATCAAAATAGCAATGTGCAAGAAATATATGAAAATGAGTTCATTATTAAAATGAATTTGTAAACTAAGACTGCAGAAAAATTATATGATATGACCACATATCATATTATTGTGTATCTCTAAAATAAATAATTAATAATAATAAGAAAAATAATAATAAAATACTTGTCACTAGCTGCATTCACCGATTTGATAAAACTTCACTTCTGCCTGTGAATAATCCTTGCATAAATTAATAAAATTAAAATTTCGATTGGCGTTTTCATTGGAAAGGCTTTAATATTCACTCGATTATTGGGATATATAATTATGTATATATATGTATGTATATATATATATATATATAAATATATTTATATATTTATAGCTTTATTACTTTAACCTGCCCCACTAACTGCTTATAAGTATGTAGGTGTATGTATGTCTGTAATGCGGTTCAAGAGTTCTGCGTAGCAATGCGAAAATGTGCATGACAAAAAAACGAAAAACAACTGTATAAAAACAAATGTAGAAACACATTCCAAAGTCAGTTAAAGCAGGCAACTGGGTGCGAGACGCCCCACTGTAAGATGCAACATGGAACAGATTTTTTGCCTGCCCAACGGAATGCATATTTCTAAATACATATATATATCTATATATATGTTTATATATATATGTATTTATATATTTATTAAATACATATAATATATAAGCTGTATACATAGAATGCAAACCACCTGGGAATGCCATAAGCGAATGTATTAGAAGTCGTCTCTTGCTAAAGCAACACACATATATATATATAAATATATATATATATCCCTTCCATATATATAAGTATTACTCGGAGTGGAAGGGGGATCTGGAGTGAAGTCTACGGGCAGGCAGGCAAGCAACAAGTGCAACAATTGTGACATTTGTGCTGTTGTTATTATTACCTATGACGAGTATAAAGAAACGTAACACAAAATCAAAGTCAGAATAGTAAAATAAAAATAAAAAAACAACATGAATCAGAAACCGATGACAACAACAACACCAACAGCAACAACCATTGTTGATCATGACTTTTGGCTGTGCGAGTCGTCGATGCGGCGCTGCGTTTTTCGCCGAAAGGCACGTGCGAGGCGGCAGCGAATAATGAGCTCATTTTGGGGGGCGAGAGAGAGAGAGAGATAGGGAGAGAGTGAGAGCCACAGGGAGATGGAGCTGATATGGGGACTCACCTGCTTTGCAGCACAGGGCTGAGCTCTGTGGTAAAGTAGCTGCCATGGTCCGGTGAGATGCTGCCGTAGCTGTCGCGATGCAGGCCGCTGCTGGGTTGTGCGCTTGTTAGCTGTGTGAAACTCTGCAGCGTTGCCACGTCACTGGCATGTGCGGCGAGCGTGTGGGAGGGCGATGGTGAATCGCCACCCACCGAGCTGGCCGAATTGTTGTGATGATGGTGTTGCTGATGATGTTGCTGGTGCAGATGCTGTTGTTGCTGATGTAGATGTTGTTGATGTTGCTGTTGCATCAATTGATCGTGCGTCATAGAGTAAATGGTTGGGTTGGCCTCCTTCAGCACGTGCAGATCGGAAACAGCGGTGAGCATGTGATAGCTGGAGCTATGATTATCGTCGAAACACTCGTCCTTCAGTGTATCCTGAATGACCTCATCAATGTTTGGCGTTGTGTGTGTTGTGTGCGCTATTACCGAGTTGGCGGCTGCTGCTGCCACAGCGGCAACATGTTGCTGCAACTGATGTTGCTCGTGTGTGGTGGGCGTGACACTGCTGCCCACCCCGCCGCCACCGCCGCCTCCATAAACGCTATAAAGCGCAAAATTGTTGCGCATTATGGAGTCCGTGCTGCTGCTGCTGTTACTAATGTGCTGTTGCTGCTGCTGCAGCTGCTGTTCGTATAAATGGGTATGATGATAGGGTAAATGCGCCAGCAATTGCTGCGAGGCAGCCAATGCATAAAACTCGCTTTTATCCTGATGTGTTGCTGCTGCCGCCGCTGCTGCTGCTGCTGTTGCACTGTTGCTAGTTAAGTCGTAGGCACAATTATTGTAGGCCAACCAATTGGCGTGTTGCTGCTGTTGCTCCTGCTGCTGTTGCTGCTGGTGTTGTGTTAGCAGTTGCTGTTGCAGAAACTGTTGCTGCTCATAGATTTGCTGTTGCTCTGCTTGTTGCTGTTGCTGCTGCTGCTGTTGTTGTTGATGTTGCTGCTGTTGCTGATGAGCATAGTTAGCTATAATCACCGAGTTGTTTAGGCCACGATAATGTAGCGGCAATTCGGCTGTTGTTGCTGTTGTTAATGTTGCTGTTGCAGTTTGTTCTTGCTCATTTGATTCACTTTTGATTTTGTTGTCAACACTTTCACTCGCGTCGTTTTGCTGATTACTATTTATCACTACTACCGGCAAAATTTCAGCGTTTGTTGTTGTTGTTGTTGTTGCGTTTTCATCACTTATCTCACTTTTGCACTTATCAACGATTTTGTAATATTTATCGCCTGTTCTTATTGTTATTGTTGCTGCTGTGTCTAGCTTCGTTTCGCTTTCGGTTTTGGGCTCGACTTTATCTTGATTGTTATTAGCCGTCTCGCCTGCAGCAAGTTTAGTATTTGTGACGTCACAAGTGTTCGGCTGCTGTTGCTCTTGCCTTACGCTGTTCCCATCATAAACTAAAATATTTGCGATTGTTGTTGTCACTGCTGATGTAGCTGTTGCTGTTGGTGTTGTTGCGGTAGTAACCGTTTGCTTCGCTGTTTCTCTGGCAACTGATGTGTGAGCCTTCGACTCAAATGTCGACGATAAATTCGCTGTGGCAAGCGGCGACAACGACGACGTCGACGTCGCTGCTTGTTGCTGTTGTTGTTGTTGCCGCTGCTGCTGCTGCTTGTGCGCGTCGCCGCTGTCGCCGTTCTCCTGCGCCGATAATGTCGTCTCTTTCACAGCGACCGCCTGTTGCGCTTGGCCGTATGCTATGGCTGTGGCTGGGGTTGTGGTCGTGGCTGTGACAGTGGCTGTGGCTGCTGCTGCATTTGATCCTGTTGCCTTGTCGCCGCCCGCACCCTTTTGCACTGATTGCTTCTTGGCATTGACCAGCGCTTTGGTGATCTTCATTTTGGCAGCACTCGCCAACAAATTGCTGGGCAGCCTAGGAATGGCACTGTTCTTGTCCTTCTCCTTTGTCTTGCTAGTTTTTGTCATGTTAGCCAACTTCCACAGTTGTCACAGTACAGTGTGCACAGTGTAAGCTACGCTAGGCCTAAAGCTTATTCAGTGTATTAAAACTTTGCAAGGCAAGCGCGCTCGCCTAGAAGTTTTCAATGATCCGCGCTGATCAACGTACGTGTCCGAGTCCGGCGCGTTTTTCATACAAACTGAGCTCGACACACGCTTAATTTCGAAACGAACAAAAATCATACAAAAAAGTGTTTTTAAAACGACACTACACAAATTCAAATACATAAATATATATATATATATATTAATATGTATAGATGTATATATATATATATATATATATATAAATTAAGTGTGTGGATGGAATAAGCACAAAAGCAAATCCCAAACTCTCTCGCCTTTAGAGTGCTCTCCCCACACTTGCTTTTGCCTCCATTCATACAATTACATTTTGTGCTTTGCACTTTGCCTTTGCTCTACATGCCGTTATATTATAATCATAATCATTATGCATGTTTCTGTTTTCTGTGTACAGCTTCTAACGCCTGCGCGCGACAGCAACAACAGCAGCAGCAGCAGCGGCCACACCAGCCACAATAATTACGAACTACACTTGGCGCTCACTTTGACACTCTTACTCGCTCGCTCTGTCCCTCTATCTCTCTCTTTGGAGCTTACTTCAGTGCTCACCGTTTTCGTTCGCGCTCTCTTCGAACATCGCTCTTGTTGTTGGTTTGGCTGCAATAATACTGCCTGCTGACAACCGACCTTATCGCACATTCGTCCATACCGTAGGCCGCTTTGTCATTTCTTTCAGCTGTCTCTCTCTCGCTCTCCCTCTCTCTCGCTCACACAGCAGCAGTTTTAAGCAACGCCTCTCAAACACAACACAGCGCACAGGGGAGGCAGACCAAAGCCGGGCCTGCTGCTAAGGCATATTTGTTATTGTGCTGTTTAAGTGTAGTTCTTTTGTTGTTGTTGCTTTTAATGTCGTTGTTGTGGTTGGCTGTTGCCAGCGTAAATTTCATTTAATATGTATATACATATATACATGCCTATGTACTTGTACACATATACATATGTGCATTGCATTTCGTCCCATTTGTATTGTATAAGTTAAGCATTTAAAATAAAATAAATTCTTAAAGAGATTTAACAAAGTTTTATAAGCTTAAATAATGCAATTTCGAAAGTAAAACGCTTTTCTCAGTTCATAATTAAGTTGCATGCATTTCAGTGTTTATTAAGTAAAAATATGTAAGTGTCATTTATTTGTTTAAAAATATTACAGAATTTATTATACTTCTATAATTGCAGTGATAATTTTTGATTTTCTCCCTTCAAATAAATTTAGTTAATAAAATATAAAGTTTATTTGCAAGAATGTTGCTAAAATAATGGCCAAACAATAATAATAATAAACAATAATAAAATTAATTATTTGTACATTTTATTAATTTAGAGGGAAATTTAGTTTTAAAGATTAAAATAAACTAAAGATACATAAAACTTACGACCAAAATACATCAAAATACGTTATTATTTAATATTTTAAATAGGGAAATTTAAGCAAAGTATAAATCTATTCTTTTCCGAGTAGAAGTTATCAGAACCTTTACAGGAGTTTAATTTTGCAGTATAATAAAGATATTATAACCAGAAGTATATATAAAGATATAACACTTAGGCAGGTATTTGTATGAATGGAAATTGGAAATCTTCAGCACTTAGTCATTAATTTCGCTTTGGCCAATAGCTATGAAACATTTCATGGCAACTCTTTTAAATTGTGCGTAAAATTGTAATTTGTGTAACAAGGGCGAGAATCTAAAATCGAAATTTTGTAAAAATTTAAACAACATGCGTATATGGAATAATTTTCATGCCTAAACAGGACAGAAACATAAAATCGAGTTACGTACGAGACGCGTGTTGAATTTCATAGGCTATGCTAAGAGAGGAGCTGCAGCCGGGGCGAAAGGCGCCGTGAGAAAATTAAGAAAATATAGAAAGAAAAAGGAAAACTGTAGGAAAGCCGCACATTCACTTGTGCCAGTGTCTTTTGCCAATTCCCGAGACGACGCGCCAAAATATTGTCGAAAAGTCATAAAAATTATATTGGACGACGACGTTGCGTCTATGTACTTGAGCCCAGTTCTAATGGCTGATTAAAATATTGTTATATTTGAACCAGGACGAGCAGGAGAGTCGTAAAAGATCTCCGAATTTTTAATGACATTTTTATCGTTATTTGAATAGGCGGCACCAACGATCTGTTTGGACATTTCGACAACATTTTTACGAGGCTCAACTAAAAGTAGGCGACTTCTCAAGTGGGTCGTCGGCTGTCTCTGATTTCAGTTAACCTTTGTGGCAATTTAAAAATCATATATGAATAAAAATTCAAATATAAAAAAAATGGAAAAAAGTGAAACATTTCAGACTGATAAGAGATGCGATCGATCGTAAGGCTCTCACTAAGGCCTGAAATACAAGCCACAGGCCGACGTACGATTCTTGTTTACACTCAGTTCTATGAACGCTTCTACATACCTATTACATTATATACTCTATATATGTACATATATACATACACGTAAACATAATTCATATATATATATGTGTACATAATTTTTTTAACGTTCTGCCTCATTAACAAATTTTCAATTTTTTATAAATCACATTTGCGCGCACTTTTTTCATTTTCAATATTGAGCTCGCTGTGCTGCATGTGTATGTGATTTATATGGAACTTTAACCTTAACCTCGCTTAGACGTCACATTTCTTAACACGCGTTTCAAGCATGTCCAGGCTAAAACATTAATTTAACTGGCACAGCTTAAAATTTAAATATTTTTTATTTATTTTTAAACAGTATTTAACTGGAAATATATAAAGCAATTAGAAATGTTTCGCACGGCATCTGCCTAATTCTTAAAATATTTCAACTGAGTTAACTAAATCCTGATTACAGTACCAGTTAGAAGTCTGGGCTGGAAACTATTGTTTAATATTAAATATTGCATAAATAATTATATATTCATTATCCAGTTCGAATTTTGCTTTATGTTTCAGGTTATCTACTTAATATAATCAGGTTTCCTTATAACAACTAAACTTTAATTTAAAATTTATATTCTAACTTTATGACTATTTCAAGTGTTCTATAGCGCATCAACTTTGCCCACATGTAGCACTGAAAGTTCTCACATTAGACAGCAAAAACTTTTGACCCCTTTAAGACTCCATAGTGTATGCCCAACTGGAAAATGTCATGCTTTGTTTCTTCTGATAAGGTGTATAAGCCTTATAAACCAAATGCATTGGGCACAAATGCTAATAGCAGTAAATGGCCTTAAAAAGAACTAGCTGCATGTAAATTGTAACCACAAGCGTTCAAGCAAACAAGTCAGGGTTAAAGACATAAGCATGTACACTATATATTCAAATATATGGGTATATATTCCTGATGTCTATTTAGATTGAGAGGAGTTGCATGTCAACAAACAAATTTGTGATCAGTGCAGTTTCCAAGCTTCCATAAATCATCAATGAGCCGTGGAAAATGTCAAGCAGCACAAGTGCGAGATGCTAATGATGTGATTTATTACTGATCTGCGAGCTGTATCCCAGAAGGATAATAGTGCTTGCTCTTTACGTGTGTTCGTCGGGTTGTGTGCGTGTGTTTTAGGTGCTGCCTTTCACACTTGAATTGCAACTGGCAATGGGCCGCATCGTAGAGAAGTCCATCTTAAAAATATCAGATCCCATGTTTAGGGCGAAAACAAGTTAGAAATACACGAATATTTAATGCCCTTCTAGACCCATGAAAGTAGTACAATTAAAACAATTGAATTTCAGATTACCCGTCATATATTAATATTTATACTGATACTATATGAATTAAAACTTGGTTCAATTTCAAATTAGTCTTAAAAACTAAAAAAAAAAAACAAAATGTATTTATAAACAAAAGGATATAATAAGGAAAAATCCTCGTTTTTTTATTAAAAACTCTAAGGTTTACCTATGATATAAATGATAGCTATATAATTCGATAGATTCATGTCGGGATATGTCCAGCAAGAAGAAAAGCAGAAGATATTCTTGTGTCGGCCGTTATTGCTGCCGATGTTATTCCACTGCGTTACATATTTCATGACAATTTGTGTACACTCTGAAAGTGTATAATAACTTGGAAACACAAATATAATGAGTTTTTTATAACCACAGCATATAAAACCCAAATAAGGTTCAAATTAAGCGAGCAATATACATTTTGTACATTTAGTTCGTATATGTTTGTATATCCCATGAGACTCTGTACATATTCTGAAAAAGAATATCCATATATATATATTTATGTATGTGTGGCGCACACTTAAGCCCTTGGCTTAACATTATTTTGACATATTTATGGTGCCCAAAAATGGGTTTGCCTGGAGCACTAACAAGTGCCAACTAGACAGACCCAAAGAAGTATCTCACATATCATCGTCGCTGATGTATTTATGCATTTTTAATATTCGGAGTATAGGCAGCATTCACGTAGTCTCCTCATAAATATTATCCCAGCCTGCCTGGTAATCGAATATCCCAAATATTTCGCACTTGAGCCGTGGCAATAGCCCAGATCCGAGGCCATTATCAGCATCGTTATCTGGTAGGAATATAATGGCTATTAGTTCTACTGGTGTACGCCCTTTGATAATATCAATTAAAATGTTCTCAGTCAAGTGGCTTGCGGTGTAGCTGCTGTGAGCTCGCAACGGATCTTTTATCTGGTCAACTTTATGACCCGCAAGAAAATGCCCTTAAACACGCTTTTTAATTGCAGCACTTCTTTTCGGCTTGTCTCTTATTGTGATAAGAATATCTATTGAATAATTGAATAAATCTGAAGCTGGCAATTGCTTTTAATGTTGTTCGGTTGACGATATCCAAACTTAATGTGAAAATAAATAACAATGATAAATAATTGAAATAATAAATAATCGCAAGCCAAAATATTTAATAAAATTGTAAAATAATATTTCTACATTGTTATTTCTCAGCGATTTCCATCTCTGGTTCCCATATGGTTGCCGGTCATTTCCGCAAATATCGTGAAGCAACTAAGAAAGCAAATTTTTACAAATTACCCCACCTATTTGGCTAATTTATAAGACAAACAACGAAATCCA